CAATGTGTGTTTTGTGTATTTCTGTGTGTGACGTGGATAGGAGGGATTTCAACAGAAATAAGAACATAATATCCAACATGTATAACACCAAACATGCAAATARGCAATGAAACAATAAAATTAATGGAATTAAACAAGACAGTTTATGTTAAAGCCTTTTTTCACACTGTAAAGTGTTGTGGAAAATTATTGCCGATTAACAGGTCGTTCAAAAATGTAACGTACATTTAAGCCACAGTGAGGTTTCGCTGAAAGGTATGGACAATTAATATCTTATCTGTTTTAGATAGCTCTTTGAAACAGTGTTTAACTCAGACTGAATTACCAAGCTAATGGCTAGTCCAAGAGAAACAAAGAACAAAGGGGATTACTGCCGTCGTACAACAACGTTATCTTAAAAAATATGCAATGCTACTTTATAAACCAGTCCCTTTTGCATTACATAAGTTATTTACACWAACAGGTGCAGTAGCAACTAGCCATAGAAATTTTGGCAGAAATATCCTAATAGTTCTGCCAGGAAATTTAGGCAATATAAAACTGACAGTGATGTCAACGTTTATAAAACGGCGTTCATACGAATGCTCATCAAGATTTTGAGACTGAGGCTGTTTTAAGATGACGTCAATAAATTTTGCTCGGCTCGGACCAGCAGTTAGCTCGTGAAGCCAAACAGAATTACAATTTCAAAAGCTACCTACGACAGGTAAGATATTAATTGTTCAGAATCGTGCTTTAACCTCACAAAAGCAACTTCAAAAGCCATTTTCACTTAAGTGACAAACGTTTGATGAAACCTTTGCATTTTAAAATAAGTTCAAAGCTACAAGAATAGAGTGAAACTTTCTAATTCCATAATGTAGTAAAGAATTAATCTGAAATAGATTTAACTACTCAAAAGCACAATTTGCAAATTAGGCTATGTGTCTGAAAAGAAAAAAAACAAACAATAGGAGCAGTTGTGCCATGTGAGTTGCACCTTTTTTACCTGAATGACCTCCAGTACTAGGAATCAGTGAAGATTCATTTTGCTCTTTTGGGAAGGGGGTCTCTAGGTGACCTTTGTGAAAATGTACCATCATTTTGGCAGAATCCGTATAAGTGCAGACCATTTCATGCAGACAGTAAGTGTATGAAATGAGTGCTCCTGTCTTTCCAGCCTGGCTCTCTTTGACAGCATGATGATAGAAGCGTCACATCCTTGGGAGAGTAAATGCAAACTGACAAGAGATGAGTCTTTGGTTGCTGAATATAATACAGAATTGTGCTCTGAGTGTCTTATTATCTTGTCTGTTGATGTCTGAAAGGGGGAGATTTGCTTGAGGAGAGAAGACAGAAAKTGTAGGCATCCACACCATCTCGTCCTTTGAGAAAAAAAAAATTGCTTGCCCCACTAACCACAGCTTTCCCACCTAATGTCCACTTCTACTTGGAATAAATACAAGGCAGCGAGATGTTTGTGGTGCCTCGTAGCCCCTGTTACCTGAAGTGGAAGAGTATTTGCACAGGCAAGCTTTTAGGAGAATGACCCTTTCACCACTGCAGTAAGCATGTTGAGGCTGTTGACGGTTGACAATACACTGTAGACAAACATGAGCACTCCGATTGTCTACAACTGGGTGACTCCTCTTTCTCATACTGACACTTACTGTATAAACAGTTTCAAGTCAGTAATGCTAAAAACATATTTGATTCTGTGAAGTTAAAWAGCTGTAGAAGACTAACTCTAGAAGAGCACGAAAGGGTCAATAAAATCCAATCGCCCTTTTAAAATCCAAATGCTTCAATTGCACTGCATATATTTAGAGTATAAAATTTATTATTTAAAAAAAATCTGAACTCTGTACTCAGAAGGTAAGGCCAAATGTGGTTGTGAATACAGTGGCACATATAATAAATTACTATATTGAAYAGCAAATTTCTTTAGACAAAATCACATTTTAAAAGGAACAAATCAAACTATTTTCAACTATCATCAACTATGTTCTATATGGCAGAATCATGCTGGTTTGTGTTTGTCACGATTGAAACTGCAGCACTCAGAGATTTTTTTGGTTAGTAGACAAAAAAAGAGAAGACAGTACTAAAGATTGTTTTTTTTATCTGAACTGTATGAAGATTCAAAARGTAGCATCAGCCCCTGTTTCTAACCACAAGCCCAGAAAAAGACTGAGAATGTAAATATTGTGGCTTTTGCTCAGTTCAAAGCCACATAAAAACAAACTCAAAGCTTGTTTGAATCCATGTATGACTTGTGTCCATTGAATTTATGATAGCAAACAATAAGYTGCCCATTAGTAAAAACTCTGCAGACACAGCTGCAAGCATAATAAAATTAATTAGCATCAATAAAATGTCCAATACTTGAATAAGAAGTTAAACAAAGTGTAAAAACAAACTAGTTCTAAATTAATTAGCAAGTTTAAAAGATTGGTGAGAACTCTAAATGTTCGGCTTTTACCTGCGTTGCCTCTTACATTTTGACGTTTCAGAAATAACTTTTCAAACCAGACTCAACTCACTTCCATTAACTTTTGTTCGGAATAAAAATAAAATAAAAACTCTTCAAAATGTCCCACAACTTCATCAAAACAGCCGTTGCAAAAAGGAGGCAAAGCCTTATTTGCCAAGGAAGTATCACTACACTTTTCATTTGAGTCTGGAAGCTGTTAAATAAAGAGAAACGCTGAGTCTCTCTTCTTCGTCACTCCCCCTCTTCCTCCCCACTGTACCCGCCAGCAGAGGTCACGGCTCCGCAACATCTTCCCACTATTTCTTCACAACTCGTCTGCGCAGCGACTCCCACACCAGACCTGCTGCTGGCACAGCCCAAGGCTCTGCCACCGGGCAGAGACAACCCCCACCACAAAAAAAAATAAATAAATAAACAAATAAACAAATAAATAAATAAAAATAAAAAAATCTCACAGCTTCCACAGACGGGAGTGGCTCAAAATGGCCACATGCAGAATGACCACAGTCAATCAGCAAACATCAAGTGAATGCCAGCCAAAAAAAACGTCCTACAGTCGTGTTTCCACAGCTCACAGAAATGTGTGACTTATCRGGGACTGTTTATCCATTAAAGAAACAGGTAATTTAACAACAAAAAGGTGTGTGAGAGAAAAAAAAGAGAAACAAAATGCAGCGAGACAGAAACTGAGGATTCCTAAAGAAGTGGTCAAAATGGAAAAAAGACAAAGTTGATATTAAATCAAATTGCAACTCTCTTGGGAACAATCCTACAGCAAGCAGTCCTTGTTTGGAGGACTGGCCTGGGGTTATTCTTGAGAGGGGAATTTAAAAGACAGCTGAACCCTGACTAATTACAGAGTAATATTTAGCTTTCCAACCTTCAAATTCTTATTTTATTGTGCACACAAATGCTTGGCAAGCTTAACAGGAACTTTACCATTTTTTATGCCACTTTCAAAGCAACACACACAGTGAGTGAATTAATTATACGCAACATCTGAATGACTTCCAAATAAAAAAAAGGCATAATTTAAAAGAACAAAGGTCCAGAAATCTCTAAATCACAAATACACTCACAGAGAGCAGACATGCACACAACGCCTAATCACACACATGACAAGCTGTCAGGAAAATTATTTTAATCTAAATCGATTAAAAAAGATCCTGGTAATTTTTATGTTGCATCAAAACAAGCACTGCAGCAATATACAACAAGAAGAAAGAAAGGAGAAGAYGAAGAATTAGTAAAAAATATATATACATTGGTTCTTCAGATTAAGTTTTGTCAACGTTTTTTGTGTTTTTCATTAAACAACTTCTATTGGCATTTAGTTTCAAAAACACATAAATAATTGGCACATAAAGATGGTTAAAATGTATTAATTATGAAAATGACAATATATAGAAACATCAAATAAAATCTACAGAAGTCAAATCTAATTTTCTGCAACCAAGCAAATATCTCGTCTTTGTCATTATTGAACAGTGCCACGTAAATGTGTAAACTTGGCATATGGTGTAAATATATCTTTTATATTTTAGATTTTCGGTTTGTTGTGTCTCCAATAAAAACTATAAACTAAACGCTTCAGTATTAAATTATCCTTTTAATTGCAAGTTCAAATGAAAGTCTGTTAAGAATCAGTTAAATGATTATTTGTGTTTCTCGATTCATAACGAGCGTCTGTAATTGAATTAGTCCACATGATTAATTTTAATTATGAAAAATGCATGCATTAGACACAAACACCCAATTGTCACCTAACGAAGGAGATAACAGCAAAAACAATCAGTTATGATGTAGAAATTCAGTAATTATGAATACATTTTTCATTGTACAAGACTGACAAATAAAAAACCTCTGTAGTAACAGAACAAACAGATGATTTTTAATTATTTGCGAATGAAATAACTCAGTGAAATATTATTTTGTTTGTTTTTTTAAATCAATTGCAGAATGTTTTATTAATTTGGCCAATATTTCACTTGTATTTATTAAATTTTGTTTGCATTTTATGAGAGAAAATAAACACAATATAACAAGATTTTACTAAAGTTGTGCAGCCAGACGTGAGGCACAATTTACTGATGGGTAAAAATTGAATTTTTACGCACAGTTCAACTTTTCCAAACACATTATGCAAGAAGGATTTGTGTAAAGTTGCTTCTACAAGATAAAAATACAAACTTTAAGAATAGACATTAAACAATTTAGGATGCTAGAAGTAGTAAGTTTTATTCTAAATTTGAGCAGCAGATTTATTGTTTTTTGTTTTTGTTTTTTTTGGTTGTAGCAAATCTAATTTAACTGTAACAACATTGAAAAGGCTGGTTTAAGAAACTTGTAAGCGGATCAAACGGATTCCGAACAGTCAAACTTGCTCATTCTTAGTTTGTTGCCTGACTTCWTCACACCTGTCCCACCTCTGGAAGCTCCTGTTTCCAGTCCCTGCTGCCTGAATCAACCCTCAGCCAAGCAGCTCTGTGGCATGAAAGGAACAGATGTGAGGATTTAATGGACTTACCATAAAGCTTGTTGGGAGTGCCCTCTCTGTCCGTGGCCTCAGAGGGCAGGAGCAGGGGCTCGTCGTTCAAATCGCTCTCTGGGGTGGCCACTTTGTCGTCCGCTCGGAGTTCTGCCGCGCTCATGTCGCTGCGCAGGGAGAGCAGCGGCTTGCTCAGCTGCCCTGTAATCATTGGATCCTGGAGGGGAGCTGGGAGCCCAGGTGGGAAACAAGAGTGGAGAAGAAAAAAAAAAAGAGGAAAAAAAAGCCCCTGGTTAGATGTGCTTCAGCGTTTCACCCTCAGCGACTCCCTCTGTATGTCTCTACTCTCTCTCTCTCTCTCTCTCTCTCTCTCCACCCTGCTTCTCCTTCCTATTGCTCACTCATCATTCTCCCTCTCTCCTCTGCTCCCTCCCTCCTCAGCTCCCCTCTTTTATCTGAGCCTGGTGCTATCCCGCTGATACTGCCGGCTGCTGCCTGGTGAAGAACTGTTACGGATCGCGTGGCTTTACCATTATACCCTGCAGTCCTAAAAAGGTGACACATCCATCTCCAAGGGGCTCATCACTCCTGACGTGCTCCTCGTCTTCAGCAAACACTAAGCTGACAGTAAACTACAACCAGGCTCGTGAGCAGAGAAGTGAAGCGATTCAAACTCTGCATTTAGAGGAACTATATGAGCAAAAGTACATAGACATGATTACATCGATTCTCACATAGCGGAGAACATGTCAGCATCTTACAACAGAGTTTGAGTCAACAAGAACTTAAGGCCTGATTTAAACAAATCATGAAGTCATTAGGGTTCTGAATTTTCATCTATTATTTTCATCTTGCGACACTGAAACAAGAATAAACAGCATCCACATAAAATGGTAAAAACAACGTCTCGGAAATGAAATCAAAAAGTTTTCATCTAAAGTTGTATTAAAGGTTTGAACACTTACAGTGAAAAATGATTAAATTAGTCCTTTTTTTCCATTTAAAACGGCACAAAAGAAATGTCTGATAAAAGCTGTTGTAAGAGTGTCTCTTACCTTGACAAGCTCCGGAATAAAGTGGATAAAAAAGAAGTTTTAGAAAGCCCTAATAAAGAAAGGAGTGAAACAGCAGATAACGCATGCCACCACAGATATAATGTACTTCCCTCTGATTTAGAGGCGGCTTCCTCAACCTTCCTTTCTATAGGGCGACCACAGGTTCAAGCCTGAGGTAACCTCCGAAAAAAAGTGGGGGAAGAAAGAAAAAAAAGATCCCAGAGATGTCACCTCCTCCCTTTTCTCTCTCTCTCTCCCTCCCGTTTCTACTCCCTCTGTCTCTTCCCCCTTGTGTCTTCTGACTAGAAAGCTCCTCGACAGTGTTCACCCCACCTCAGGCTCTGAGGCGCAGACACAGAGCGGCAAAACTACGGCCCGTTTTTTCTTATTTATGAATCAAGTCCAACCTAAATATGTCTCAGAGAACAGGTGACCGGCGCTTTTATATTCACAATAATAAAGAAGAGGAGGAGGAAGAGGAGGGGGGTGGGCTTTATCTTGCCCCTGCACCCATCAAACGGCCTCCCAGTGTCAATCAGGGTGGTCGATGGTTTGCTACCCGGAGGGGCCTTTTTAATGTGCCCATCACGAGGATCTGCCCTTTCTGATATGACACATGATAATCTATGAAAATGCTAATCAATAGAAGCAGTTTAAGCTGTCATTACAAAACGTGAGCCGACTGGTCAATACTTCTACCCCTGGTAACAATGTCACTAGTCATCGGGGCTTCATTTGTGGAGCACTTAAATGTGGGACACTGCACATCAATGCACCGCTCTGCCCCGCCGAGGTAAACACATTTTCTCCTCTGTCTGAGCTCGGCCGCACTCTGCATGCGTTCCACCACCGCCGCACCTCCTGCKCCCTTCCCCTTTGAGTTGCTTGATAGGTCCACTGGAGGGCAAAATTAATACCTAATTGAATCTTGCAGTCATCAAAATAATCAATAGTTTTTTATTATTTATTCTTCACAGTCTGTTGACTGTTTGAAAGCTCAGAGGGACAGCYGAGAGCACAGGCAGCCCTGAAATTTCTACCGTTTCACAATGTAATTTTCACTGGGGCATGAGAGTTTGCAAGACCTATAAAAAATGAGAGCTGTGGTTTTTTTGTCAGGAGGTGTGTGTGTGTGTGTGTGAGCTGCGAGCAGTCAGGGGGACACTGGTGATGCAGACTGACGGGGGACATAAACACTCAGCGGAGCTCTGAATCAGTCCATTGTCTCAATTGCCGNGGGGGGGGATAAAGGAAAAATGGGAATCTTTGCCCTAGCAGCTACAATGAAAAATAGAATAAACAAGCTACTGACACTTCAGAGAAGGGCAGGGTCCTTTCTGTCCATCCCTCCATCTTTTTCCTTTTTCTCCTTATTTCATCATATCAGGAGTGTGGCGGTACCTCTCTAATGTTGGCATTTCTCTTCCTGACAGACTCCAAACAAGTGCTGGGAATGAGATCAGAGCTCTAATCTCCCCCTGGCCTCTGAGGCTCCAGGATAAGAGGGCAACTCATCTCTCACCATCTTACACAGCAGATAATTATTTCAAAAAGTCAGCTTTACCTGTCTGCAATCACAACACTAAATTTGTTGTTGTTTCGTTCAAGTTTCAAGAGTAATGTAGTTAATTATATAACTGTATTTAAAAAAAACTCTAAAAAATTATTGGTTTTAAACAGTTTAATGGAATGACTGTCTTTTTTACAGTTCACCCGGAAACCCCTTATGAAGCAATAAACGAGAGCTTGAATTTGTGTTTCAAAGGGTTGGTTGGAGCAATAAATGGCGGAGAGGGTTTGTCTCAGGATTTCTCTGTTCAGTCAGGGTGGATGCAGCTCGGGCTGCAAAAAAACAAGAAAAAGCACTTGATGTTCCCCTCTGCCTCCCACTCYCCAAACCCCATTGGCAGGACAGTTAGCAAAGTCCTGAGTGTCATCAGATAACCGTGCTGAGAGCTGGTGGTCCTTTCAGAGCTGCCGCAAAAAAAACAAAAGACAATTTACTATAACTATCTTAAATTTCTTAATCTAACAGTGATTTCTGATATAAATATTTTGGGTTTACTACCCCTGAGTTCTAGCTTCCCTTCAAATTAACAAGTTGAAAAAAACTTTTGTCATTTAAAATGAACAAAAATCTTCTTTCTGTATTTACAAATGCAACGTAACTTCAAAAACACTTTTTTCCTTTCAGAAGACTACTTGAAAAGTAAAAGATGTTACAAAAAGTAGGGCTTTCCTATCTCCTAATCTTTCTTTATGATCAGATTAAAATAATTTAACATTATGCAAAGCCACAATTTTTAAAATTTGMATAAACATAAACCAGATTCAAAGTACAACTCAATCAGAAGTTAACCTTCTTAGAACTTTCTGACTTCTTCAGATATCAAAACATAAATCTCCCTAGAATAAACACCAAGTATGGAGTTAAATACTAATAAATACTGGTGATGTATTTCTGGTTCTTGTAATCCTTTAATTAAACTTTTTACATCAAACTAACAACACCGAAACACTTAGGACAGAACAAGTTTACAAATTTAATCTTTAAACTAAGACTAACAAAATGTTAATTGATCAGTTTGCATTGTTCTGCTATAATTTGAGATACTAACTGTACATTGTGTACCAGTTTATTTTACTCCAACAAACAAGGCTCATTACTTGGTCCAGATTGTCTGTACACAGAACTACAATAAAAAATAAGAGGATTTTTACACAAATAAAACTTTACAAATAACTTGTTTGGTAACATAACTAAACCAATTTTTTTCTTAGTTTCCATTGGTAATTTATAGGAAAATGAATATGTTGGCAATAAAATGTGATAATTGAATTGATAATTGAATTTCATTAAGTCAAATAATTTACAATTAATTGTTAAGAGTACAATAACAAGACCTGTTTAATATAAGGTCCTATATACTAATAAAGGATTATAAAATATATCAGTCATAAAAAATGCATCAAATATTGATTTTTTTTTTGCTTTTAGAGTAATATGAAAAATACTAAACAAAAAATGTGACAATGTTGAAAATAGCACATTGATGTTTTATGGCCTCATCTCTAAAGTACATAATTGATTAGAGCATTTAAAAAATGCTTTAAAACTGATCAAAAACAGAAACATATTTAAAGAATTAAGTATATAACAATAATAATAAATGTTTCTGTGAATTTGCTGCAGGTTAACACTGAGATCCTGATGTCTAATGTAGCATGGTAGATGATGATTTGTCTCCCCCTTAGGGTTATTAACTAAACTGTTCACCTATTTAGCTCCTAAATTTAAATAACTCATTGTAATCCTTTTTGAGAGCGTGCCAAAAGCTTCTTATGCATGCAAACGTTCATTATAAGGTCACTAATGTTTATGATTTATACAAAAACCTTTATTTGCATCATTCTGGCTGCCAAAGGTAATCTTAAGAATTATTATTCGTATAAGCTTTTAGGAGAGTAAGTAAGGGGTAAAAAAAATCGTCCAAACTTTAGCAGATATTTTGAGCTCGTTAATATGATCAACAGTTATGGCTCTCTCCTCCACTGAAGCTAAAATGCTCCCCAGTGGACGGCTGGTGGGTCAGTGAAGGCTGAGGGCTATCAAAGCAGTGTATTAAAAGGAGCTCTTTGAAGCTTGTAAACCGAGGTGCCCAGCAGGTCCACAACAGATAGGCACTTCTGATTGGTCAGGTGTGTGTGTGTGTGTGCGTGTGTTTTTGCCGGATCGATCCAAAGAGCTGACATTCTGGAGCATCAAAGCTTTCGGTCCACTAATATGACTCCTCCCATGTGAGCAAGGGTTGTTTTTATTATTTTCCTTTTTTGTCTATGAGATGCTTATGCCTTAGAGGTGCTCTCGCATGCTTAAGGAATGAAAGTTGACTTTTGGATTTTAATGGTTTAAAAAGGGGGAATGAGCCTGAAATATAACTCAGGTTACCAACTAARAAACGTGACAAAACTACACAAAGCGGTGGTAAGAGACAGGAGTTACCTGCCGGACGTACTGTTGGCGGCAGAGGAGTGACGCCGCAGAGATTCAAACCTGACTGCTCCTCAAAGTCAGTTTCCCTTCACATCGCCTCTGGAGACCTGTGCCACATACACACTCACCAAAGGTGTGAAAATCTGATTTCCCAAAAAGGATCAGTAATCTCTGTGAGGGTGGAAGCAGCAATCAATAAATCATTGCTAAGCAGATTGTAAAGACAAAAAAAAAATATTCCCTCTTGGTATCAGTACATTAGGATTCTCCTGAGGATGGATGGGGGAAAGACAGAGGTGCGAGACAATCTCAATAAAGAGCTGGGAAATCATAGCTTTGGCATTCATCTGAACTGTGGCTGTCAGCAGGGTGACGAAGGACCRGGGGAGTCGACCAATATCTGCAGGGTCCGCTCAAATGTTGCTCAGGAATGTCTACAAATGTACTTAAAATAGTGCTAAGTGAAAATACAATGCYCATTAAAATGCTCAAAAATGATTTTGGCATTGGAAAGACCGAACGACAACTTGAGAAATGTTGTTCAGAGATGAAGAGAAATTGCATTTACAAAAGTCCTGCATTGTGTAATTTTGAGCCAATATATTTTAAACATTTTTGTCCAAATTAAACTGAAAACATATACTYACTTCAGTAATTAATATAAAACATGACCATTCCGCACAATAAGCAGTTGTATGTTTTGCTATTAACTCCTGGGTTAATATGTTTCTTTTCTCTAGTCACATAATCAAAMAAGAGTAATGTAAGGAAATTGAAACTTAGCAGAGGTTTGCAGAATCAATAAAAGTAGAATAGCTATAACAAAAATGTTTAGAATCTTGTTTATTCTTTCCTTTTCTTAGATTGGGTTTGTTACATGATACCCTAATCTGAATTGAGGCAAGAGTTTGTCAAGAATAAATTGCTATTTCATAATAATTCTACACTATTTCATCATTTGCATATAATGCATTGCATTATTTATAGCAGTAATTCACTCTSCTTTTGCATTTTCCTTTTCTTGGTTTCTCCTCGTCTTTCTTTATAAATGCCACTGTGTCACTGGTGCCAGAGCATAACAGTTATTTCGGATTTATTAATCATGTTTATGTGGTCTGTCTCTTAAGTCTATGCTTTGATTATTTTGTCATTTTGAAGTATCTGAAGCAAATTTCAGAGCCACTGAGCCCCTGGGTCTGTTCCTGGGAAAACCCAGGTCAGTGTGTAATARACTTCTCAATAAGGACAACATAAAGTTAGCTAAACAAAACGTTGTAAAAAATTAAGCGTCAAAAAAGCCCCCCCCCCCCACCTCGAAATTACAACTTTGTAATTTACTAAATAAAAACATATTAAACATATTTAAAAAAAACATTAATTGTAGCTATAAATGTG